GGGGGGGGGGGGGGGGGGGGGGGGGGTCTGAATTGAGGGATCAATTATTAGACCCGGACGTCCCAACACTTGCTTCGCAAGACAAACTCAAGGTATCCCCTAAAGGGTTACCTTTCGTGACATGCTTGACTTGGCCAGTTGCCATGGATGTTCCCCCCTGATGGAACCTTCAACAACAAGGGACCCACGGACCCACTTCTCTCCGGCCATTTGGAACACCACCGACTTCTTCAGTACCCAGGGTCCAGTAACACGCCCTGCCAAAGAACAGCATGTGCTTGGCAGTCGTCTTACGGAGCATGTTCCCCAAAGGCTACCTGACCTTGATCTTTTGCTGGCACTCTACCGAACTATACACAGCATATACATGCATATAATATACGGTATGTGTATCACTTGGTCTCTCAATCAGCCACGACCCCCTTCTCTCAGAATGCCCTTCTCCAGTCACCGCGACCTTGCGGACCGGAACCCAGCAGCCACAAGACGTGGGTGGTTTTTACCTAAGTGAGTGGATCATGGGACCCCATGGGACCCCTCTCCTCCAGTCCTTCGGCACCCCCGAAGTGTGGCTCCTGGTGGTGCTGCTTCCACTGGCTGCCTTCGTCCCGTTGGCTCCGTGCGGAACGTCCGTTTGGTCGTGGTGCGTCCGGATCTCCCTGTCGGTCCGTGGATCCCGCCTGACTTGGTGGTCAGCGCCGCGTCGTTCTCGTAGTGGTTCACCAGCTGCGGCGGCGCTAAGGAGCGCCAATCCACCTGACCGGTGCAAAGGACGGAGATGGCCGCGGAGAGTGGACGGGGTGTGCGAGCGTTTGAGGAGGCACCCGGCCCCCCACCAGGTTGAATTAGCGAGGTTGGCCTGCGACCTACGAAAGTCAACCAGAAGGGCGAGGTTGGGTGTGCCATCTCGAGATTCTCGAGGTGTGAAAAAGAGAAATTCCCAAGCAAACTAGTAACTGATAGCAAAAAGAAACAGATTGGAACATGAATCAATCTACCCCCAACATGTTTTCCTACAACCCACCAGGGCTTCCAACCTGGATCCAAACCAATCTCACCAAAAAAGAGCTGTGTGGCTTCGTGGAATTTAGACACAAACACATTTTCCGCATCCAACACATCCAACCACCGGGACCCCGCACGCCGGGTCCACCGCAAAGTGGGGGCGGCCCGCCTTGCTCCTGGGCCCCCACTTCAAGAGGAAGTCCTCGGCCTCCCCCACTGCGCCTGGCGTATTCCGCTGGGTGAGGAAACAACGGGCAAAGAAGGAAAACATGAAATGAACAAACATCCCTAGAAAAATCCACATATTCTCTGAGGTACGGTGATGTGTTCGACACTGTTATGTAGGTGCCAGGAGGGTCCAGTCATACCGAACCTGAGAAGGTTGCAATGGATCCCTAATGGCATAAAGGATGATGGATGCACTGTATAATGATGCACTGTATATCAAGTTTACCCAAATAGATATATAGAAAAGTAACATCCCACTCAACATGTATTGAAAATCGTTTCTATCTATCTGGGGACCACTATAGTGGGAATGGGATAAACTCTAGGCTGAGAGATGCTGAGATTAAGCCAAAGCACACGAGGATGAATCTGTTAGCTATTTGAGGATTGGCAGCGGCTGAAGGACCCTATGGCGGTCTTGCTATGGCAACCTCAAACAATCATAAAACCATGAATGAATAAGCTACCAAGCTGGACGATGCTTTACACTCCCTGAAATCGTCGTGGAAGTGGATCACATGGCCCCTTGGATGACCATGAAATCCTCTGAGTCTATCGGTGGTGTTGCACTTCCATGATTATATTCACCCTAAGAATCATTGGACCCTCCTATGGAGGGTTTTGACCCTGCATAGCAGGGGTTTGGACCCTCAAAACCTTCACCTTTGAGGCTCTTGAGGGTCCTTGATTCTTAGGGCAGGGAGTGTAATTCATCTGGACAATTGGATCCTGATCCATGAGGATCTCAGAAGCGAACACATGCAAAAGAATTGCTCGAGGAGCATCAATGAATACCAGTTCTCGCTCCGACAACCCTCATTTCATCAGATCATCCCATTTCGTTTCATGGCATTTACACTTCTTGGATCAAACTCACACGGAACATCAAATGCCACTGGATTGTAGAGGAAAATGGCCTTCCAGCCTGGTCCATGCCAGGTTCCATGTGGGTCTCTAGCAGGTGTGTTAGCCTTGCCCGGGTCCCCTCTGGCACCTTCGGTGAAGCCCCGAGTCAGCAGCTCCTGCCGTACCTGCGAGACGGCCATCTCTTGAGACCCTAATCTATATATATATATACACAGTATATATACACCTGTTTTTTTTGGCGGACCTCTGCAAACCACCAGCCTATCATCCCAAAGCAATTACATGGAATCCAATGCCGGACCAACCGACTCACTCCTGGTCCCTCACTGATCGATCCACCACTGACCGGACTTCAGGACCGGAGGATTGGCCGCCCATACAGTGAGATGTAGACCCTAGGGATCCGTTTTCGTACCATGTCGTACCTTCTCAGGATTTCGTACCATGTGTGATGTGTTCGACACTCTGACTGTAGTTGCCAGCCAGTCGGGTCCAGTCCTACCCAACCTGAGGTTCGGTACGACAGGATCCCTGGGGATACCACAAAAAGTCCATCGAGCAGCAACTTGAGAGAGACTAGTCCATCTGATCTTGCTTCGGTCTTGCTTCTTGTTCCATCTGATTCCTAGGCTGGCCATGGGGATGTAGGCTGCGAAGCTACTTTCAAACCTTCAAACCCTCCTATTTTAAAAAGTACATAAAGTACATTCAAGTACCATGAATAGTTATACATTCCCTGAAACAATCACGACAGTGCAAAACCACCACCTGTTTGGTATTCAGATGTGATGGTCACCCGAACGCCATCCACATCATCGCGACGTCACCACGGAACCATTTCAGTGTCTTGCACGTCACTTGCCATGTTGTGACCCACGCCACTTGCCATGCTGACTGGGGTCTCTCCCCTAGGGCTCCTGTCCCACCTCCGTTTCGAAAGTGGTTGGGGTGGGTGCCAGGGGGGTCTAACCACCGAACCTGAGGATATGGTTGGAGCCCTAGGGCTCCCTTATTTCATACCGAGTGGACCCACAAAACCCGGTCCAAAACCGCCCCTATGTCCCCCGCGGAGGAGCCAGGCTCCGCCCGTGGCTCCGGGTTGGCGCACCACATCGAGGTTGGCGCTCTCCGGGTTGCCGGTGATGACCTGAGAACGAAATGAGGTCGGAGAAGGCAAGCGAGCATTTGGTTCGTTCATGTGATTAGAACGTGTTTGAATTAACTTGTGTATCGTGATGATATACTATGCACTCAAAGTTCAATTGCTGAAATGTGAAATCATGTGAAATCCGAGCTACTAATGCTACTACAAGCTATACAAGTGAGGCTCACCCTGTCAAGCTATCCAGGAATCCAGGCAGTACCCATGTTTATTTGATGGGGTAGTATTGCCATGCATTACCGTCTTCAGGCCCAGCCACTCGTCAGGCTCCTCACAAGTAACCCCCCTACCAGGGCGACGCCCGCGGGTTCCCCCCGCCGCGGGCGGGGACGTTCCGCGAAGCGAAGCCTGGCATGAAAAGCCTACGGCTCCACCGAAGCCGACGTCCTTCACCAGCAAGGTGGGACGTCCCAATGAGCTCCAATGAGTCAAATCTGTGAGTCACTCCCTGCCAGGTGTCCCCATGGTGAAGTGGAAAAAACACAGTGGACAACCAATTCAGGATGTCATGGCCATCCGAACACGGGGCCATGCCATCCACGTGACCATGATGGTTTCAGGGAGTGTATCTCTCTGCTGTGTGTCTCTTGCCTCGTCCCATCTCAAACTCGCTAAGCTACAAAGACCTTCGGCGCATTGGTCGGCAGCCTCGCGCGAGAGGTTGGAGGATAGGAAGCAACCAACGAGAGATTGGAGGTGGCAGTGTGCAATAACCACCATTGTTTGGAATCACATGTCGGGCATTTTTGGTACCTTCAACTCTATCCAATGTCCACTCCAAAAAAAAGCAGGACTGCAAAAATCAAGACTACGTAAAGCCTCTGTGCTGATTCCCTGCCTGGCTGCTATGCCAATATACTGCTCAGTGCTTTCATCATAGGAGCTGCCACCAAAAGGCACTTCCCATGTTCTGGTTGTAAATGGGTTCGGAGCCTATTCACCGTGATGACCGCACAAGAAAGGCATGAAACATGGTTTCATGATACGTTCTACTTGTCTACGTATTGCTGTTCAGTATAACGCATGAAAACATGTAAGTCTCCTGCCGTAGGTTTGTTCCATCTACATTCATGGTAATTGTTCATGAATTGTTGTTCTGAAACAAACAATTAAGTAACTTAAAGAAATTATGTTGAATACATTGTATTACTACTACTACTACTACTACTACTAATACTAATACTAATATAATATAGAGACACTGATACATACTTAGCATCCTTATGTCCAACCAACTTCATCCACCTCCCTGTCCTGCTGTGACCCCGGTCACCCCTGTTCGCCTCTTCCGGGACGCTGCCAGGGATCCCATGCTGCCCGTGCGCTGCGTGAGCGCGGGGGAATCGCCTCGAAGCGAGTGCCGGTGGCCGGTGTCGGTTCCGGATGAGAGGTCCTGGCTTGGTGGAGCAAGGAGAGCCGGAGGGTATGAGGTGGATATATATGATATGGTGATGGAGACCATTTTTTTTGGGGGGGAAGGTTCATGGAAAGGTCTATCCAAACATGTCATAGATGGAATGAAAGTGGAGAAAGAAAACATGGTTTCACTCATACAAGCTGTCAGGGCTTCGGTCAGAACCCCTGCACAGGGTGGGTCCAGCGCGTGCTCCCTGCCTGGCATCTTGGGCAGTTCAATTCCTGTGGTCCTTGGCTTCTTGGCAAAGGCCATGGCTGCGAATTCCACGGTCAGGCGGCTCTGGATGTGAAGAGGCGGCTTTTGGGTTGTGGTGTTTTCCTGCTTCTTTCTGCTGGCCAGCTCTGACCATAGGGCACCGATCTTTTCACCGTTGCACCCCCCCCCAACAGATCTACAACATCTTTCATCTCCTTTCATGATAAAACTCTGACCAAAGAACCCCTTAAAAAAACCGTGACCGTCCGTCTGCCTTTCTAGTAATTTTCAGTTCCAGCCTGTACTCTGTCTTGCTTCCGCTATGTGGCATTTCAAGGGAGTAGCATCAGTGTGGCCTCTCAGGGAGCAGCTGAGTAGCATCTCAAGGGAGTATTCCAGTTCCAGCATGTAACCTGTACTACTCCGGTGGCATCTCAGTAGCTGAGTAGCAGCTGAGTGCATTGACACGGCATTTTCCACCGTCCATCGTGGTATCTTTCGGCCGACGCACCGGTCCCCCTCCACGAGACGCGGCCGTTGCACGGAGCGGGTCCAAAACGGGGACCCTCCGCGCGGACCGCCCCTCGGAACGGAGGGGAAACGAATGCGGATCGGCCGGTGAAACCGAAGGTGCGGGGGCTTGGAAGCAAAGCGGCCAGGCGGCGGTGATCGACGTGGATGCGAGGGTCTGAAGGGCTGGGTTTGAGGATTTGGAGGGGAAATGCATGTGGATCTACTTGGAAGATCCCTTGTGAAGCAAATTGGTCATGACAACTTGACCAACCAAGCGATGGCTGGCGATAGCTCTTCGATTTGTTTGTTCAAACTCTGCCGACCCACCAGTGGCAATTCCCCGTCGCCTCTCCACTGCTCGTGGTCAAAGCTAGTGCTCAAGAATAATTCAAAGATCTGAAGTATGTTTTATTTGTTTTTTTAGACGGGTATATGAACAAAGGCGTCTGTACAACATGACACCCATAATAACATACAGCACAAACCTCTGGATTTGATACCAGAACATTCGTCACCTTATGACAAGCCCATGTCAAACCTGTGCAAGGGTTGATCCTTGTTTGTTCGAAAGTCCTCTCATAAGTCCTGACCCCTTCCAATGCAACATCAACTGACCTGCATCCTTTTTGAACACCAGGGTTGTTTCATGGCTATATCTTGTTGTTAAAGTGCCATGATCTTTTTCTTGCCACCGTGTCCACTATGGTGCAGCTCACCGTGTTGAATCTTGAACGTGTATGGTGTAGTCCCTGAAAGATTGAGGAAGGTCCACTTGCCCCTGGGAGCTATGTGGTGTGCTGTGAATAGTCCGAACACGGGTTTGTCCAAAAGTCACCAGTTTGCTCAGGACGTATGGAGCTTGAGGGTTAGATCAGAAATATGACGTGTGTATGGAATCCTGCCTTCATGTAGCCCCCAGGTTTGCAATCGCTGGAAACACTTAAACCAAGAGCTACAGTGGACCATACAAACCCACCCTCAGCTGATCTGCCGGAAACCTCTGAGCAACATGAGCAACAACGGTGTTGAACACAACAACATCCATTGCCTGCTCCACTCGCGAGTCAGGGATTCTTTCCACAGAAAATCAATGAACATCAACGCCTAAGACTTGCCCTTCACACGTCCCCACCCCCCAACAGTCTGAGACCATTGCCAGGACAGCGCCCTTCATGGCAGTGCCGCGGGTGACCGGGCCCAAAAGTCCGAGTGGAATATACTGTAATGATTTGAATCCGAAGTTCTGGATGGATTCGTCTCCTCACATGCTCCAAGTCTTAATTTCTCTGACCGCCAGCTGATGCCGCATGATGCCCCCCCACAGCTTCATTGACTTGGTCCTTTCTCCGCTGCCCGGCCGCAACAAAAGCAAAGCCGGGCCTGCAAGACTGACCAAAGAAAGAGGTGGGCCAAAAGATTTCTGTGAGAAGTTGTCTCCATCGTTGACCTCAAAGAACAGTCTGGCCAGTTGGACCCGTAGACATATATGTTAAGTTGTGAATGTGTGAGTGTCTGTTTTTGTGATGTTAGGTGCGCAGGCATCCAACAGGATCACCAAAAAGAAGGTACGCAGCAACGAAACCTGGTATTTCAGTAATCAGTAAAGTACTGGGTTGGAACAACACACAAAAGCCATGGACTAGGTCAAGCCATGCTGACGAAGTATATCTCTAGCCTTTAGACTCCTGCTTTCGCTTGCAAACAGGTTGATCTGGCATCCATGACATATCTATGACATATCCATAACACCTCATGATCCCCACCCAAGCAAGTTTGCTGGTTGAGCCCAAGAGCCACAATCCGATCTCTGCACGACCTGGCGAGACATCTAATCGTACACACCTGGTGGGCACTTCAAAGATCTATTGCTGTGATTACAATGTTTTACATTGTTTTACATATTACATCATATCAAGAAAACACTTTGAACACTTATATTGACACATATAATTGACATTCAGAAAACATCACTGATACAAAGGCTACTGATAGAGAGGCCAAGACCTCTTGTTGAGCAAGACGGGCTCGACAGGTCGGACGTGACCTTCCGACCTGCCGAGCTCATGACCACCGTGCTGTTGTGACCAAAAGCCACTTAACCAATGCCTTTTGGCCTACAGTAATTTGCTTTGTCAGATTGGTTTTCCAGCGGGGTTGTTCAAGCTAGGCAGCATCTGCAGCAGCTTGTGAAAGGAACATGTAACATGACTCGAAAACGATGGATAGTGCTTCAAGATGCTTCAAGAGTCCTAAAGTCCCACTGGCAGAAAAAAACATCATAGAAAGTCACCAAAGCCTGCAGCCCCGCAAATGCAGCAAGCTGTAGCCATTCCCGGCGAACAGGGATTCGCATCTGTTTTTGTAATTAGAGTCCAGTCCATCGGTCATAAATATGTGATATGTGATGATATGTGGATCACACTTGCATCCCAAGGAACAACGACAACAACAACAACAACAAGAATAATAACAACAACAACAAGAACAAGAACAAGAAGAACAACAAGAACAACAAGAACAAGAACAAGAACAAGAACAAGAACAAGAACAAGAACAAGAACAAGAACAACAACAACAACAAGTACAAGTAACGAGCAATGTTCGTGGCTTGTGCGTCGTCTCCTCCCCCGGTCGGTCGGCTTGCGCCGTCGTTTGCCATTCTTTTGCTTGGCCGGTTCAGTCCGCCCGGTCAGTCTGCTCAGGCTGCCCGGTCGGGCTTCTGGAGGGCGAAGGTGGTGCCATGCCTTGGGGGAAGGAGGACAGGCACGAAGCTGGATGGGGATCACATGCCTTGGATGGGGATCTTTGGTGGTACTACATCCATCTTCAGGATCTGGGTGAACATCAGGTGGTCCGTGTGGGATCCAATGATGCCACGGGGCGCGAGCTGGTTCAGCCTGGTTCGTGAATTGAAAAAGAAAGGTGCGGAAAGCAACAGGCCTGGCAAAAGGTCACTGATCTCCAGGGACCCCCTAGGAGGTCCCTTTGAAGAAGCTGAGGTGCTTTTCCAACCACCTAACATCTGGAGATTCATCTCATGGGGCAGTTCAAGGATGCTCAAAGATGTGAAAATTGGTAGGGGGGGAGGCAGTAAGTATATAACCATGACAACCGTCCTGCTTATAGGTTACTCCTGACAGGATTTCCAAGAACAGAAGTTGACATATTCCAGTCTTGTTCTTATACGATGTTCCAAGAACAACCCCGGCTTGAACTTCTGTTCACAAACCTCAGCTTCCAAATATCATCAGTCCAACAATACCAACATAAACAACTCCCAGCACTTGTCTTCACCCATGGACTTCTTCGGTGTGCTACCAACCGTCTATCACTGTCTATCTAATGAGATTCCACTGCCACACCGCCCAGGTTTTACTTCTGTTAGCAACATGCTGAACTGGTTCACTCCCTATAGCTCCTTCCCGGTTCCCTCCTAGCAGCTAGTCAGATCTAGTCAGATCTAGCTAAAGAACAAAAAACATCACCGAAACGATCTCCAAGGCACAGCCCCAAAAGTCGTCCCTCCAACTTCACCTCCTTCGCGAACTGCAGCGCGGCGGCCACAGGGCCCGGGAAGCGCCAGGGCTTCTCGGGCGCGAAGTCGTGCCCAGCAATGACGCCTCCTGCGACGAAGTGGGTGGCCCGGGCATTGGACCCTAGGGCTCCCATGTCCTGACGAGGTGGTTAGACCCCCCTGGCACCCACCCCAACCATCTTCGAAACGGAGGTAGTTGAAGCCCGAGTGGGCTTCCAAAGGAGCTGTGCGCCTACTATGGACAGGGTGAAACTAAGGATAGGCCAAGCTTTCAACAACCCTACTCGATTTATTGCACCAGCAAGCAAGAGTTTCCAGCGCAGTTGGGGGGGGTATTTGGGGAACATCTTGAAGGAAGCGTCCTCCCAATAGATTCAAGAGTCTAGAGTGAGATAGAATTACAGTAGGCTGGTTCAGATTGCGAAGGAAACACACTTCAAAGCAGTTCCTACTCTCGATGTTCACGCCAGCTTGGCTTTCCATCACCACTACTTGAAGCGTCAAGCTCGCTGATGTTTCACCAATGAGGAAAAACATCCCTGCATGATCAAGGCCAGTGGAAGCAACCATCAGTAGTGATACTATCTTTAATATATATATATATACATATACAGTAGATATAGCGAGCTACACTGTAACGTAAAGCGCCTCTGTGTCTGTTTTCCCTCTGTGTCTGTCACTCTCCCGTTCTTCCGCTGTGCTCCCACGACCGCCTGGGCGCAGCTTCGGCCAGTAGCGGCGCAGATGCAGCAGCACCATGGGAGTGCTATGGTAGGCATCCACGAAGACAAAGTCTACGCTCTCATCCTCCAGCAAGCGGCTCGCCTCAGCAGACCTACTGACTTTTCCCCACTGAAACAGCTTGGCCAAATGAGAGGAATCCACCATCACCTGCCTTTCATTCCACACACACAGGTCTGACCAGGTCTGGAGGCTGCCTTTGACGGAACTGGCTCTCTTTCTCATCTCCTTCAGAAAAAGTTCAGAACATGGTGTAAGAATCAAGGTGTTTCGAGAGGCACAGCCAGGAACATGATACATGATGGAACCATTATATCATAAGTCGAATCCGAAGATGATGATCTAAGTAGTACAGTAGGTGATTGCATGATGCAGCACGACGACTTTAGGGGGGGATGTCGCAAGACGGCCATACTCCCCAAAGCAACAACGGGCAAAAGAAATGAACCAAAAAACATGGAACACGAAAAACACATGAAAAAACAAAAAAACACACAATTTCAGCTGCAGTGATTCCTTGAATCTAAGGGGGTTCTTGTCAGTGGGTGTTGTGGTTCAACCCGGTTTCTTCTCAAACTCTAAGGGACAAATATGGAAAAATGTCCCCACTGAGGAAGCACACCAACCAAATGCAGTCGCCCACGTCTCCCTCCATCTTCCAATCGCGGCAGAAGGGGCGATGTCACCTGTCTCTTGGACGATGTGCACCGTGGGCGACCACTGGATCGCCACTTGGACCGACTGGCGGAACTCCTCCAAGCGACCAATCCAGGGGTCAATGGCATAGTACTTCTTCACCTGGAAAGAAGGCGCGAGCTGGCGTGAGCTGATGGGGGGAACCAAGAGGAAGCAAAAGTCCCCAAAAGTGAAGATCAAATCTGATGCATCCTGCTTGCTGGATTGCAGGAATGGAAACAAAATGGGTTTCCTCAAATCAAACCTCACCTTTCTCACCCTCCACCAAGTCCCGGACACACCCCACTTCTGACCGAAGGCACCGACGAATTCAGCAGCTTCAGCTCTAAGAGGACGGCCTGCACAAAGGCTCCCTCATCCACCCCCACCTCCACCAGCACCAGGTCCTTCGTAAAGCCCAGCTGATGAATGAGCCGGGCCTCGTGTGCCACCCAAGGTTTGGGCGCGCGGGCATGAGCCCGCGCGGCGTCGTTCCGGATGAAAGTGAAGAGACTTCAGGAATGGACTTGGTGGTGTGGAGTGAGGTTGAGTAGGTGGAGTCAGACCTTGGCCCAATGGATTTCAGGGAGCACAAGTCCTAAACGAAGTTGAGCAAGAGCCAGTGGCTGCACAATGCGTTGGTTCATGCTTCTTCCTGCAGTGGTTTTAAGACCATCCATGTGGATCATTGCTATTTGCCCCAGAATTCCAATCTCAGGCGAGCACACTTGAAAGCTCTGGTCATCCTCAACACTCCTCATTGGCTTTGAACCCGACGAACCCCCGGGAACCACGTCTCAGTCACGAAGCACCCCAGCCAAGTGGCCGGGAACCACTCCAGCGCAAAGCTCGTCAGACTGGCTGGTGCAACAACCCTCCCATCACAAGAGCTGGATTCGGATTCATTCCCTTAATTCCTTCCTAAGCACCAAACGAAACACACTTAACATGACAACCACCCCCAAAACAAACCAAAAACAACATCTCGAACGCACCCACTTCTGGAGTACCGGCTGTAAACTTCCAACAAGGGCTCCTGGCCCACACAACCCCCGCCGTTCGGTGGGCCCAGTCCACCTCCCGACTAGTTGACGGCCCATTCTTCTCAGGCCAGGAGGTAGGCCATGAGGTTTAGGCCTCCACCTGTCCCTCCACCTGTCCCACGTTTGATGGTAAAGGTAGACCAAGGTCTTTCGTGGGACCTCCTACCTGTCCCACAAAGCCAATGAGCGCTGAGGTCGACCGAGTGGCATAGAAGGAGCCGTGCAAGTGATGAGGGTTCCGGAGCTGAAGCTCTTCCGGCTGCAGCAGCACATACCTACAGGTTGGATGCCCAAAACTGGATCACCACAGTGGCGAGTTCAACACGGGATCACCACAGTGGTGAGTTCCTAGATGCCTCCCTGCTGGGATTGCTATAAATGCGGAAGAAAGTGGGGTTGTTGGGGGTGATTGCTCAGACTTAGATTGCAGGGATGAATAGATTGTGCTAGCAAACGCCCCTGGATCCCCTGGCACTGTTCGGCACTCCTTCTTGACTCAAAACTTTGGCAAGAACGAAAGTCACAAGTTCGATGTTGCGGGTGACATCGGTGAGGGTTTAGATCAGTGGGGGTTTTGAGGCATATGGACTTGAAACAAAACATTTAAAACATGCTCTAAAGTGATATAACATGTAACAATTAGGATTAAAACTTTGAATCTGTCATGGGTTGACAGGAGGTGTTCCTGTGTGGGCTTGTGTGTAAGTTGCATATGGTTTTTCTTTGTTTTTTTGTTTGTGAACTTGTCATGTGAAGTTTGACACTTGTCATGTGAAGTCTCATTTTTTTTTGCAAGCTGCTGCCTCGAGATTGTTTGTTTAACTGTTTGTACTGTCAACCATTCGAAAACAGTCTATCAAATGTCTTGTGACCATTTGCGGCCATTACATATGATCGGCGATGCCTGGCTTTCTTTATTTTGGAGATGTGTTGCTGAGACTGCTTGGGGAACGGAATGCCTAACCCTGTCTCAGGGAAAAAGAGTGTTTGAAGATGCTGAAACTTGAAACTTGTTGAACATTTTTAAACACACATGACATGCAACCTCAAAAAAAACATACTATGCACTAGCCATACAAAACAAACTGCAGTTGTTTGTAATTCAATTTGTTCTATACTAAGGTCTTATGTTGTTTTTTCCTTACTAAAATAGAAACCCTCTCTGATCTAAACCCTGCTGATCTGGACGCGCTACTCCATCTGGTGAAAAAAGAACTAGCTGCTAGCTAGAATCAGCTCGAAAACAACCTGTTCACGTCTCAATCGGAATCTGATCCCGACCAAGAATGGCACAAAAAAAGTTGAACAGGCCTTCGGATCTCCTCAGGTGTGGCCCTCAGATACCTTCGGAGTTGCTGCCCAGGAAGCCGATGAAATAAGAATATCGACTGTATTCACCAGAAGGAGATTCACCCAGTTCAGGGAAACATGGAAAATCACCTTCTACAAACAAAACCAAATGAGGGCGAGCGAACTCTAAGTCGAACTCCGCGCTGGCCAGGCAACATGAAGTCCTGAAGGCACTCGCGCACCGGCGTGAGGAACACAGCATCTTTGGACTGCCACCAGCCACCGCAGCAATCGGCTAAGGTATAGCCCTCCTAGGTGGGACCGGACACGGACCGACTCTCACTCGGTGAAGGTGATGGTCCCGACAGTGAGACGGTGTTGGTGGGGGAACCGCAAAGGGCATCAAACACTCAGCCCTGGCCTCTGAAAGGCCCTCCACCAAAAAAGAACACCTCTGCGGGATGGGTCTTAGGTGGGCCAGGAGCAATGATGATCCTGGGGAACAGGCAAGGTCGGTGAAGCTCTTAGCCACCCCCTATGGAAGTGGTTTCCACCACCCGCTTGGGAGAACGATCCCCCCTAGATTCCCAAGATGTTCCAGTTTCTATTATCCCAAACACGACCTGTCTGGGACTAGAATATAAACCCCCAACTGATGGGGGGTGAAAGTCTAGCCCCATGCATTGATTGTATTGTCCCCCAAACAATTGATGGGACTGGAATGTATGCCATAATATGCAAATCAATTGATCCCTGAAATCAACCATCCCTGGCCTGATTGGTCTGGCTACGCAGTGGTCCCATGTGTCGTGTCTGGGTTTCTTGGTTTCCCACGCTGCTTAAGTCCTAGTCACTGTGGTTTCCCACGCACGGTTCCTGCCCAGTCCTAGTCACTTCCACCACAGTCCTCCATGCAGAAAAAACTCGGAACAATAGTGGATTCAAAGGAGATGGCACAATCCCTAAAAGCGCTAAAAGGTGATTTATATGGACTGGACACCCATCTAAAAAATATCTTAGGGGTGCCAGTGCCATCTACTCTGAAACCACTGCAATTGGGTTTTGATGCAACTTGTACGACAAAACAAGGTTTCCAGTAACATGTCCTTGAACCAAAATAATATCTTGGAGAAGTATATGGCAATAAGCTGGCAACTTGTTTGCAGGGGATGCCCAGCAAACAATTTGACATAATAAACAACAAAGAAGGCCACTCCAATTTGTCTAGCTCACCTTGCACCAACCAGGAAAAACGCATGCAAATATATGCAAACTACTTAGAACGAGCAACTTTATAAGGGAACATATCGACTGAAATGCATTGGTTCATATTGGTTAGATTTCCCTATTTTGCAACACCAAACCAACTCGAGCAAACTCAAGCACGTCGTCGGCATCCCAAGCATCGCTCTCACAGGCAGACCATCCACCATTGGAGCAACACAGGTCGGGCGTGTACATGCCTCGCAGCGTCCCGGACACGGCGCCCGGACACCAAGCGTTTTGGTGCCGTGCCAATCGAAAACACTTTCATTCATCGTCCACCTGGATCTGTGGATGCGACACGTCCACCTGCAAATACACACAGGCTAGATCTAACAGGGATCTAACAGGGTCCTGGATCTAACAGGGACGCTTAAATCTTCACATAGGGTTCGGGTTCGATGCACCAAAGGGGAGATTTTTCAGCGTCCTCGTTGAATGTCTCACCTGGGACCGTGAGGCGAGTGCCCTCTGAGTCGAGTGCCCTCGGGTTTGAAGTTGGTCACCAAAGGCGCGTAGCTCCCTGGAGGAGAGAAACCATGCTGATCATAGAGGCATCGCTATATGATGCTTGGAGCATCATCATTCAATTCCAAAATGGAATACACCTTTATTGTGATCAAAACGAATAGGAATTGGAATAATGGTGCTTGTGGTGTGCTTCGTGCCCTGCTTATCCACTCTCCACTCCTTTATCAACTTGCCTGCTGTGTGGGAACTCGAGCCTTGCCCCCAATCCCGCCTTGCCAACAACCACGATCCCTCGCCAACTGTCGTGCATGAGCTTGCCTGATCGGTCCCAAACGGTGCGACCCCAGCTTCGCCATGAGCGTCTGTCTTGGGGGTTTCCTGCTTTTTCTCTCCCACATCCTGCTCTTTTCGGCGATCTCGGGGTTACTGAGGAGGAATTCCAAATCGCCGAAATTGAAGATTTTCTGGGCGACCGAAGGGTGAACAAGTTGGAAGTGATTCAGCCTCCAACCGTCGCTGACAACCACCATGGGCCTCTGTTTGGAGACAACGAAGGTCAACAACAAGGGGGGCCATGCCCTCCGACACCATGGTCTGCTGATTGGGGAGGTTTGGGAGGGTCTTCACTTGGCTTGGAGATCAAGTGAGATCAGTTCGGGGAGCTGAACTGGCGTGAGAGTGGTTGCGGAGGGAAGGCCCAACTAATTGCAGGAGTGGTGTGAACTTGAGCTGGTCCGTCCATATGCCACAGCCTCACCATCCTGCAAATCGAAACACATGTGCTCCTGAAATGCTCTAAAAACACAGCCAGTGGACCTTCCAACCTACTTAGTGTTCATCAGCATTTCGTCACCACATCATGGTGCTCTTCTCTGAGGTCTTGGTGCCACCCGGAAACCTCTTTTTCAAACACTATACCCACTCCGAATCATTCCAAGGAAAACTATACCAGCACCTTCTCCAATGGAATACATACTTGTGGACCTCCATTGGGCATCCCGACATGAAGGTGTTTTTTTTCTCCATGTTTTTTCATATCTTCATCATCCCAGCAGCTTGGGATCAAAGAGCTTTTTGCTCCAATCCGTGTAGATCTGCATCGCCACGTGCTCTTGCCCGACTTTTGGCGCACCCCCCCCGCACCGGCACACCAGACCCGGCATGCACCACGAAGCCGAAGGTGGCGCCCATGCCTGTGCCAGCGAACAAATGGAAGGCCAAAACATCAGATGGTGTTCCTTTTTGCATTCCCCTTTAAAGTCCGCCATTTGATATGACTTTCATTTTTGAAAATCAAGCTGTGTCTCCACCCCTCATTTACCTCGAAGAACACCTGAAAAAAAGGTGGACTATGTGAAACCACCAAGAGAGACAGGCATGATCCTTCATTATCTTCATTGGCAACTTCTAGACATCTGAAGAAGTTCAGCCCATTTCAACACCCTGAGTCCAAAGCTTCTCTCACCAGCCACCCTCGACATTCCGAGGCGGGGTCCGCGCGTTGTTTGGTTGCAAAAACTTATCTAATCTAAATCCGTTGGTAGAACAACCTGTCAATTGTTGTAGTCGTTGAAGCACTCTCAGGGTCCAATCGGTCCAAAGTTAAGGAACATAAATGCGAACAAAACAAGTCAACACTTGGGAGCACAGTTGGACTGTCCAAAGGTTTTGGAGGACGCTCTGGCCTTGAAGAAACACCCGTTTGATCGTTTCATGGGGCAATCTACTGCACTACACTCCCTGAAATCCTCATGGAAGACCCTGTTCGTAGAGGAACCCTGTTACCATCGTTCCGGGGCCATGTTCAACGATGGTTGGGCATCATCTCTAGCTCCTGGAACCACCCACCTTACAGGCACAGAACCCACCCCACAGGCGATCCCAAATCTCTCTCCTCCGCTCTTGGTCCCCCCACGCGTCACCGTGAAGCTCCGGGTCTCCTCATCCCAGTGGATTTGATCCTCTTCCAGTAGCGGCTGCAGCGCGACACCGCCGGCATTGGCCCAGCGGACTGCCAGCGCCAGGAAGGCGGAGGCAGCTCCCAACAGCATCACGAGGCATGACAGGGCATCGCCGCAAGATCTTGGGCTGTGTTTTGTTCTTTTTCTCCGATGAAAAACCCGTAAAATGCAGAATGGACCAAACAAACGGGTGAATATAGTTTTGAGATATGTTTTGAAGGGTTATTGTTAGGATCCACGGACGTTTTCGGTGTATACCATCCTGCAAGTTTCAACTAAACAAATCAGGTGTTGATGTTGATTCTCTGCCTCGAAAATGCTGCTGAAAGTGTGGCTACCAACATTGCTACCTGTGTGTATTCATGTTAGTGACTGACTTTTGTTTTTGGCAGGACAGCTTTTTTTTGGGAGGAACTGTGAGCCCATACCTCCAGCTGCGCTACCTTGATGACTGTCATTACCTCCTTGTTTCAAGCAAATCTTGGATGATTCTCGTTCACAGCTAGGGCCAGCTCCAAGGTCAGGGTTAACACAAGGTGCATATATGGCACGCTTCTTGTACAAAACATTCGGAAGATGCGCACACATCCAACATTTGCACCATCTGATGCATCGATTTGAACAATCAACACTCTGTTGGGCCAACCCCAACTGGACAGTGACTCCAAATAGAGGAAATCTGCACGGATCATGGAGACATTATATAATCGACATGTTCAATCTTGTCGATTTCACAACAGAAAAGGTTTTGGCTCGGCAGCCACATTCTGTCTCAAACTGAATCAAGGCCCCAGTGCTGGCCATGTAGGCAAAACAGAACCATCATGCACCTGGTCACCAATCGCCCTGTGCCATGTCGCGGAAGATGGAAGACTCGGCCATCCTTGCTGGCAGTCTCGGCAGCTTGGCAGCCTAGCAACAAACAGCAGGGCCAAAGGCGAGGGAAGCTCTGTCACGATGCATCAACTCTAGACTCTAGCTGATGCCACGAAGCTTGTGAGGGACCGGCTTTTTGTTCACGGGGACATATGTTAGGTCGAACACAGACGAGTCTGTGCCGAATGAATCGCGGCATGTAGTTCTGCATGCCACGCTGTTTGCCTGAGGCAACGTGAAACAAGTCGAAAGCCGCTTGCTGTCTCAGACTGGGCTACAAATCCATATGCTTCCTCACAGACCCGCATTAAATGAGTTGGAGTTCCAACTTGGACAGTTGGAGTTCCAACTTGGACATCTCATAAGTTAGAGATAATGAGATTCAAGAGGGTCCTCATTGTCTTCCGGAGATGCTTCCTGAGTATTGGCCACCTCCGGAGATGCGTTTCTTTCCGCATCATCCTGCTTCACGATTCCCCAGTTTCGGCCGAAAAGGAAGCGAAGCAAGATTGGGCCAAAGAAAGGAAGTGCTGCAATACGAGCTGGGCCCAAGGCAGTCATCAAAAGGATTGCTGGCATAATCCAGAAAGCCACAAGCACTTCGCCACCCATCCCTTGCCAAAGACCCACCCACATAGGAGCAGCAAACAAAATCCAAAGACTGACACACTTCTCGGCGAAGGCCTTTCTCTCAACACGCAGTGGTAGAAAGATCAACAGCCACAGAACAATCTCCATGATAATAACGATCCAAAGTAACCAGTGGAAGAAGGGAACTTCTGGCTCCCATAGATTGATTCGGTACTTCCTCACCGTTACACAGCAGCTGCCACACATCCCCAAAACAGAGATGAAAAGGAATCTGCTCCAGCCGGACATAGTTCCAAGCAATCCTGCACGATCTGTCACATAATGCAGTTGCTTTGTTGAAATGTTCATGGCCAAAAACAACTCCACTGTGCGGTCAACAGCTTCGATTTGTCCATGCTGCTCCATCTCCCTGAAAATATTCCGCAAATCCTCAGGGTTGGAACTCATGGCATTCCTCACGCTCTTGGTGAAGTTCTTTCGAAGCTGCCGCGATTGCTGCAAGGATTGGATGGCGCCCAAACGATCGGCCTCAACAGCTGCCAGGCCCAGAAATGCCAAGATCAGCTCCGTGATGGACGAGGAATGTGTTAAGCCATCCCGTGCAATCTCCGGTGCCACGTAGCCATGCGAAAAGGTAGCAAAGGCGAAAACAGCCAGCTGACAGGTCACCTGGGCAAGAATCAACATCACTGTTCTTTAATTTACCAAAAATCAAAGCAAACCAACTTCTCTCAGAGTCGCATGTTCAGTCTTCCGGAAGAGGAAATGTAATCCTACGGCCACTCCACTAGAAACCATGGCCACAAACGAAACCAGCGCAGCAATGCGGAAGAAGCCCCAGTCCCAATAGCTACGGCTATAGCCCAGGTAGGTGGTCAAGGACATCTGAAGCAGCAACGTGAAGCCCAAGACGATAAAGCCAGTTGAGGACACCCGTAGTACACTGGGCCCGAATGTCACTGGAGCACGGGCCATCTGGATTCGCTTGTTCCACAAGTAGCCCAGAAAGGCCTCGTAAACCTGCATTGTTGCTAGCAGACTTCCACACTCTGACGTTGGAAGTGGATGGCATGGTCCCTTGGAAGACTTTCCTTTGCAAACAGGAGGTTTTTCACTTCCATGTTAGACAGTCGGAGTGTAGACAATGTTGCCATACCTCCTAAAAAATATTTTGCAACTATAATGTAAAATAATCCTGGAACATCCTGGAGTAGATATGAGTAGATAGAATATGAACCTCTCCAAAAACATGACCAGAGTCCCATGTTTATTGAACATGTCCCAGTTTCTACCTAGTCCAGGATGACTACAATTCAAAAAAAAATACTGGGGGAAAGGCTGGGAAAAGAACAACATAGTCTGGAGCAAACCCCAGAAGACGCACCAAATTCGAGTGTAAATGCTGCCTTGGATGTGCAGCATCGAAAGCCAGCAAGGAAAATACGTTCTTCCGTCCGTGATGACCGATGACCCATAGTGAGAAAGAGTCATTAATAAAACAAATCCTTTTGTCCATGATGACTGCACATAACAGAATACACAGCAAACTCTCAAAAGTCAGGGTCAGAAAAAAACAGAACGTGAGTGGCACGTCCAACACCAAACAACACGACATCTGTATATTGGAAAACAATATAGAAATCCATGTCTGGAAGCACTGCGGAAGGAGAAACACACCCCTCAAAGCCTTATTAAGGTCGCACCCCGGAAAGATGCTATAAGCAAAACAACAACTCCAAAAGCAAACAAAAGACTCACCCACCACTTGGCCAAGCTGCACACGTGATTGGGCACTACCAGCATTTCAGAAGCATGTTCTAAGGCTCTGGCGAAGGGCGACTCCCGGGGGCTTTGAATCAAGTGGCTGATGTCCAAGTTTTGAGGATTCGACAAGAAGCCTCGGCTGAAGAGAGTGGATGGCGTTGTTT